GGTGCCTATATAAATAACGCCTTCTGGAGTTGTGCCTCACGTAGCTGTTCGATCAAAATAGGCTAAAGGAACGAATGAAATCATGAGTGCCTGGCTGCTCTGAGGGTCACACTGAAAGCCCAGGCTGGGTGGCCAAACCCCATCAGATTTGCATTTGGAGCTATCATCTGGACGGCCATGTGGGAGACTGCAGTAGGAGAGTAAACCCGGGATGCTCAATTAGCACTCTCGTCATTGGTTGAGTGTTTCATTGATTTAGTTCTGGAGAAATCCCGCAAGGAGCTGGAAATCAAAATGCTAAAACCACGTATATAGTTAGCGAGGCAGAAGCACCCAGGTAGAGAGCTAAGGGGTAACACCCGTGAGGATTGGTCACTGGCAGCGTCCAACTAGAGAACCCCCATTACTCATTCTAAGCCCAACACTTAAATCCAGGCAAGATAAGGCTGGGGACCAAAATGAGAGTTAAGCACCACGGAGCACATAAAGCTGGTTCATTTCTGAACTGGAGTAAAATCAGTACAAAAAAACTGGAGAAGACTTGGTTACATAAATATTAAACACGAAAATCTGTAAGAGACATCATCCTCCTTGGAAGAAGGTGAAGCGTAAAGAAAACAGAGGCAGCCTGAGTCTTCAAACGTTTCCATGCTTTCTTTTTAAATTTTTTTTTTTAAAGATTTTATTTTTAAGTCATCTCTAAACCCCATGTGGGTTTGAACTCACAACTCTGAGATCAAGAGTTGTGTGCTCCCCCGACTGAGCCGGCCAAGTGGCACAAGAGTTGCCATTCCTTTTTTTTTTTTTTAATTTTTTAATGTTTATTTATTTTTGAAAGAGAGAGAGGGAGAAAGAGAATATAAGCAGGGGAAGGGCAAAGCAGGGAAGACACAGAATCCAAAGCAGTTTCCAGGTTCTGAGCTGTCAGCACAAGGCCCGATGCAGGGCTTGAACTCCTGAATGGCGAGGTCAGACCTGAGCAGAAATCAAGAGCTGGATGCTTAACCGACTGAGCCACCTAGGTGCCCCTGCCATTTTTCGTGACCATAGGTTTGCATGAGTTGAAGAAGACCTGAGCTCATGATCTGTTTAGTCTACGTAGTAGAGGCAATAAAAGGAATACCTCTACCCACTTGCAAGCCTGCTTACATCCAATAGACCTGAAAAGCAACTCAAGACGCACCTGGGGAATGACCCAGAAAACTCGAGGAAGCTAGAATTGAAGGCAGTATGGACAGTTCAACTTAAAACAGCATCCCATGTTCATATGATTCCTATTGCCATGCTAACAGACGTCCATGCAGGGCATAGGAGGTGTATGGTTTTGATTATCAGAATCCTATATTAACTGACTCCTGTATGTGGAGGCCAATTATATGAAGCAGAATCCTCTGGTGGCTTCAACTGGCTCCATTAGGCCAATGGATTCACACTTGGCTGTAACTGTGCAAATCCGTGGACAATGGTCATGTGGGATTGAGGGAGACTGCTACTGGATCCCAGATCATTTGTAACACCACACTGTGGGGCCACTAAGTTCATAGTTTGTCTGGGCCTACGAATTGGGAGGCACAGTGCCCTGGGGAAAGGCAAATGGTATGTAAGAAAAAGGACTTAAAAACCCAGGGAAGTCTTCTGGGCATAGCCACTCTCCCATCAGACTCCTTAGGTCTCTCACTCTCCCTTTCCTTTGAAATATTTTTGCTACTCAAATCAGGCAGATGAATATTTTTTGTAAATGTATTGGTATGTCAGCCATCACTTTCTCTTGGGCATAACTAAGGTTGAATGTTTATTCTCTATATATTTATTTTATTTTTTTAATTTTAATTTTTTAAATGTTTATTTATTATTGAGAGACAAAGCATGAGCTTAGGAGGAGCAGAGAGAGAGGAGGAGACACAGACTCTGAAGTAGGCTCCAGGCTCTGAGCTATTAGCACAGAGCCTGACATGGGGCTCGAATCCATAGACCACGAGATCATGACCTGAGCCGAAGTTGGACGCTTAACCCACTGAGCCATCCAGGCGCCCCTATTCTCTATATTTTTATAGCCTAGTGTTGACTTTATCTGAGAGGACACCCTTAAAACACACACTTTTATTTTTCAAGTAAAAAAAAAATTTTTTTTTTAAGTGAGCTCTAGGCCCAGCATGGGGCTTGAACTCATGACCCCAAGATTAAGAGTCTCGAATGCTTTACTGACTAAGCCAGCCAGGCATCCCTAAAATAAAAACTTGTATTTATTTTTATTTATTTAAAAAGTTTATTTATTTATTTTGAGATAGAGAAAACTAGTGGGTAAGGGGCAAAGAGAGAGGGGGACAGAAATCCGAAGCAGGCTCAGCGCTAACAGCAGAGAGCACAATGCGGAGCTCACAAACTGTGAGATCATGACCTGAGCCAAAGCTGGATGCTTAACCCATTGAGTCACCCAGGTGCCCCTAAAAGAAATACTTTTAAATGTAAGTACATAATGGTAAGCAAGCTACTGTAATTTTTTAAAAGTTTGCTTGTGGTCACTATATCTTTGTTCTTTTATGGTCTGCAGATGCCTTACTGAATGCACTTTGAATACAGAGAGGAAACGGACTGTGTGAGCCTGGGGAGAACTCACTCCATGTCCTTGGCCTCAATATACTACATCTACAGTGTCAGTGGGTCTGAGAGACAGAGTATCTTCCCAGCTCTAAAAGATCATGATTATGTATCCAATATGAAGGCCAGAAATGCCTAGAGTGTGCAGATTTTTATAAATTTATCAGCCAAATGTCACATAAGCAGAGCTTCAGTTCATATAAAAAGAATTAATAGGATGGAAAAGAGATAATAAAATATGCATAATTTCCTAAGGTAAAAAAATTAAATTTTAAAAAGTAAAAATTTGATTTATGTTATTTTGGTTCATTTCATTAAAAAAAAACCCCTCTATTTATTACGTTTGGCCTATCACTAGGTGCGCTAGTGAAACGCAATCCTCTTACTTCCTTGTCTTTTACCTGCACATTTCTGGCACTTTCCATCTCTGAACTCCCTTGCCTGGAGTTAATAATTCCACGTAGAGTGTTTTTTCCTCCGGAGGATGGAGTCGCTACTTCTCCAAAGCTCTTGATAACTCCTAGATACTGTATGGTGGTGGTGCCTAACACTTATCTCTAGGGGGAAGCTGTGTTGGCACCAGTCTGGGCTGAAGCTTTGCATCACATTGCCCTCCCTGTCCTGTTACTTGATGTGGTGTGTGTCTGCCAGATATTGTGCCTGCTCTCAGCCGAAGGCCTTCCCAGACCAGGCAGCTGAATGTGCGGCACAGCTGCCAAAATTCTAATTCAAGATCTAGAATTCTAACTCCTACTCTTTAGACCCTTGTCTGGCCCTGGCTCCAGTCTCCAGCCAACCGGGTCGCTGGCTCATTATCAGGCCCACCCAGGCCTTGCCCCCACCCGCCAATGGGCCCAGCAAACCATTCTTGGCACCAAACTTCAGTGACACTGCCCCAGCCTCATCCAGCCCAACTCTCATCTCAGCACAAGTTTGTCACCTTGTGAGCTGGGCAAGAAGAGGAAATGCCGTGATGAGGGAACTGATCATCCCCAACGGCTATGATGAGACTGTCAGACTGTAAAACTTTTGTGGTGCCTTTACTCCAAAAACTCAGTAGAAAAGTGATAATCTTATTATTAGTGATGACACTAGAGATGAATACAGTTTAGGGAGAGGGGAATACTATTTCTGTGTGTGTCTGCACCAAAGATAAGTGAAATGTATCCTAAGAAAGAAAAAGTGCTAAATTCAATATACCTGTTAATTAAAAAATGCACTGTTAGATCATAAACTGCCAATAATGTCTAATGTTCTTTAGGCACCTGGAAAAGTGCTATTGGAAATCACACACTTTGCAGGTAAAAATATGAGTGCAATGGGGGTGGGGTGGGGTAGGGACAAGAAAGGAGCCAATTCTTAGCAAAATGCTGGTTTTCAGGGAAGCATTTCCAAATTCAACTTGCTTAAATGGTCAACATTATGGTTTAAATGGTCACAGGACAGTGTGATCAAGATTGACTGCAGGAGTCTTTTCTCTTTTAAATGAAGAGTAAATATGTCCCTTGACCCTGATTTTACTCCTTCTAGCCTTAACCACTGTGCTGTCCTTTCTGCTGATAGTCTTGCTCTCAGTGAGATAAACGGGTCAATTCCCAGACCTGAGATAGGACAGTGGGGTGCTGTAATTTGGGAAAATGAAATCATTTTAGTTTTTGTTTTCCCAAAAGGAGCAGGGAGTATAACAAACGTAGTACATATGTAAAACACGGGCAAATGCACTTGACAATCAAGAGATCTATTTTGAAATTTAAATAAAGCTAAGATTTTCTTTTGGCCTAGAGGGAAATTTCATTAAAATCAATTAGTTAGCACAAACCTCCAGAGAAAATGACTTTAAAAAAAAAAAAAGGTTTAAAGAGTAAGGTGCACACAATTACCTTTCCTGGGTCCCCTGTGAATGTCAGTGTCACACCTAGACAGGTGGCCAAGTGCAAACAAATGTCCCCGAGTGGGGCCTGGGTAGCTCCCCGAGTTCTCGCAGGGATGCGTGTGTAATTAATAGATGTGTATATATCACGAATGTAATATACATAACCAAGGAAGCTCCAAACAGATTGCACGTATTACCAACTGTGAAGGGCAGGCCGAGAGAGAGAGAAAGTTGGTGGCAGGAGCTCGCAGGTGAGGCCTCGGTCCAGGAGCCGAGGTTGGGGCCGCACAGCTGTTGCCGCGCGCCCTGGTCCCTCCTCCCAGCTGCAGCGGCCTCACCCCCCACCCCCACCCTCCCCCCGCCGCTCCCGACGCCGCCGCCGCCGCCACCGCCTCCCCTCTGCCTCCCGGTCTCTCTTCGCTCTCCTTCCATCGCTCTAGCCCCCTCTCCCTCCGTCCCGTTCTCTCCGCTCCCCTCACCCCGCCTCTCTCCCCCTCCCCCAGCCCCTCCTCTCCTCACCCCACCCTGCCTCCCTCCCGCCCTCCGCCCGCCGGCCCGGCGCTCGCAGAGCCGACACCAGGGGGGCTCTCGATGTAGCACCATGACAGGCATCGCCGCCGCCTCCTTCTTCTCCAATACCTGCCGATTCGGGGGCTGCGGACTCCACTTCCCCACCCTGGCCGACCTCATCGAGCACATCGAGGACAACCACATCGGTAAATGGCCCGGGGGTGGGCGGGGGTGCCCGGCGCGCGGAAACTCCTGCCCAGGCGAGAACCCCAGAATGGCCAAGGGTGGCCAGGAGGGAGGCAGGCGGCGGCGAGGCGGGAGGGTGTGTGCAAGCCCGGGGCGTGGGGGTGACGGGATGCGGAGGCGCGAGGTGCCGGGGGGGGGGGGG